ATGTATATATATATATCTTTCTTGTTGTTGTTGCTGTTGTTGTTGTTGTGTGTGTGTGTGGTAGCCTTTACGTTAGAAATGTTTGGAGCCCCGAAGAGTGTGCTCTTCGCCTCCCTTGGGTAGCGGGTGTAAGTCCAACCTCCCTGAATCCCCCCCGAAGAGATGCCACCGGTTGGCAAATAATCATGTTGTTGTTGTTGCTGCTGTTGCTGTTGTTGTTGTTGCTGTTGCTGTTGCTGCTAAATTTTTTTGCTGGTTGTAGTTGTAACAGCTTTGCAGATGTTGATCAGGGGGTTCTCAATATAATGAAATCAGGAGCCAGCCCGTGCTATAAATAGTACAGAAGTACTGAGGACTATCTTTAATGTCTTCTTTTATCACTTGAATTTAAACCAGAATGGTTTTTTTTTCCCCCGCGTCTTTGTGGAAAGGGGGGGTTGAGGGGGGAGGTGGAGGGGGGAGTGAGGAGGGGGGGAGGAGTTGAGGAGGGAGGGGGGAGGAGGAGGGGATTGAGGGGGAAGGAGAGGTGTTGTTTTTAGGGTGGAGAAGTGAGGTTGTTTTAGGAATGGGGAAATAACGGTTGAATGTTTTTCAATTTGAAAAATAAAGAAAGAAATTCCGAGAAACCAGTTACACAGAAGAAAATTAACTGTAGTAAAAACATCGGCATCGGGGGACAAATTTCGAAAAAACCTAAAGTGACCAAGCAATTGTCGACTTCCACATACACGGTCAGAGCATGACACCGTCCATGTGTCGTAGTTGTGGTGTCACGTGACACAGCGCACCACATACACGGTCAGTGCATGACACCGTCCATGTGTCGTAGTGTCACGAGACACAATGGACTCACCAAACTCACAAGGTTTCACAGAATGGACCATAGACTTATATAATATCCTAGAGCGTGCACTCTGGCGTGTTTCTGGTTCACTAAGAAGCGCGCCATTTGACTCAATTTGAACCATTTGAAAGGGCAAGGGTAGAAAAGTTGCCACTCGCACTGGACTGTATTAATGTATCGACACCGCGGTTTTGTCTTTCCATTTGGGCGTGATGGCGCGGCGCATTGTTCACAAGTTTTTGTAAAGTACGTGGTCTAGGCGTATAAAATAAATCTATGGAATGGACGAAAATAATCGTCTCGTGGGGTAACTCCCAAAGAGAGCCATAGTACAAGAAAGGGGGGGGGGGGGG